TGCATGAAAGTCAGAATTTCTAAAGCAGTTCGTGATTATGAGAAGTAGTGTCGCCATATTTTCGTATGCTGTATTGTCTTGTCTTCGAATGTGCAAACCTTCAGCGATGTGGAGAGAAGGTTTTTCGTTTTATCCCTTAGTTATAAACATTTATGTTTGATTTTCAGGAGGTACCAAAAACTGGCGACTTTGCGCCATCCCGCACTTTCTATTTGTATCATACAAGCACGAGGGATGCTGCCTGGGTACTATGCCAGACATGCTATAAGGTTAGCAAGTTGTCGAGCGACTGATTCGTATCATTTGTCTTTATAGAGCCTTTACAACGTTCTTATCAGAAAGCGTTACGAAGTGGAGAAACACAAGTAAGGTGTTTTCGTTGTAAGTAACTGTTGTTTGAAGTCTTGTTTTTTCCGGGTGAATAGTTTCAAGTGTTGCTTCCAGTGATGTGAACCTCCTCTACTTTCTTCCTTAATTCTGCACCAGTTTTTTTTAATTTCTCTTTACCTTCATGACGAGTCTCTGAGGTCATATTTTCCGTAGTTGCGTCAGTGCCCTTTTGTTACTTGCCTAATTTATTGTTGAATGGTAGATGACTAAGACATTTGCAAACTTAGCCAAAGCGCATCGGTGCAGTGTTGGAAAATTATACCTGTAACTGGACAGTTATGCTGACGAAAGATTACAGAAACTGATGCCGGATGCCTAGTTGTTGCGTAGTTGTTGACTCTCTTGTTGCAGTGGTGATTGTTAGTCGGTCGTTCGCGTTCCAGTAAGTCTGCGAGTGTACGTATAATACCAAGCTGCAGTGAACTTATCCGGGTTACATGCAGCAAGCTGGGGAAGGTGTACCTCGCCATTGTTTTGCAGAATGGGCACATTGTGAGCTGGTCTACGTTTAACCTTGCTTGAGATAACAGAATACCTGTCATACTGTTCAGCCTCATTACTGCTTTAAATAGCAACCGTGTGTTAGCTGACTCCGTGATTTAAATGCAGAGGGAATTCGCCAGATTGCTACTGCTATTGGGTCATTTGAACAGCTCATTGTTATTGTATCACTTGCATGGCGGAATAGTGCATGATGGCTAAATATATGATCAAACCTAGCCCCGCCGCAAACGGTTTTTTCGGTTACGCAGAACTGCATTGTTCTTTGGCAGTTGGTCTGTTTTACTTCAAGGTGTCTTAATATTGTAATATGAGGATAAACTGGGTAAGTGTTGATGCGCTTGTTGTCATGTTAAAAATGCACAAAGCAAGCGGTACATTAAACACAGTTTAATGCAGCAGATGATCTAGAAGAGTACATTTTAACCATCATTAAAATCTTTATCCACCAAAATTTGTTCTCAGAAGGTCTTTCTGGCAAAGTGTGCTGGTATTCACCAGCCATAGCGATTGCAACATCCCGAAAGAAAGGCTATGAAGTGCTGAAAGCGGAATTTTGCAATTTTTCTATTTCAGTCTCTGACGTTTCCATGAGGAGGGCAGTTTATGACATCTTTCTTTAGGCCTCAGCTAAGCTCTTGTTACATTGCTGATGTTCTTTTCGATGCCATCAATCTAAACTGATTGATATTTCAGTACATCTTATATCTGCTTTTAACTGGTTATTTTATCATGTAGTTTGCTACTTCATCCTCGCGTAATGATGCTCAAAAGTAGAGTTATCTCGTCGGGATTCGAAACCCTGAACCTTTTGGCTGAGAAGTGGTCGCTCTATTGACTGAACTTTGATGCTAGAGGGGTACGGGCTGAAACACTGGTTGAGGTTTCTTCATAATGAGCGTATTCTATTAGATTGTGTAAGCAATTCATGCTTTTTTTTCACGATATATTTGCTTGAATTGGCTTCAAGAGTCAATAAAAACGAAAACGTATCTGCCAGTTTGTCTGTTACTCTGGACCGCAGCAGGAGTTTACCCGCAAGACATATTCAGCACTTACAATGCAGAAGTTAGTCTAAGCCCAGCGATGTAGATTTAGCGAGCGATGCTACATGGAAGGCGACCATGGGGCAGATATGGGATAAGACGTCATCCTTGATACTTGGCATTGCAGCGCTTCATATTTCAGAAATTGAACTTGCCCCATTGATAGTTACCCCGAACCAGTGGAAGGCCTTCTTGAAGTTGCTGATCCAGCAACTTGAGTAGAAACAAATATTTTTTGAAACTGGATGGATGATCTTATCTGTCCCTTTCCGTTAAGTGTCAGATTACGAAGAATACAGGTGTAGAAGAGGCTTTTTCTCTTTTTGTCATATAGGAACGAAATTATTCATCATAACTCTTCTCCGTGACCTTATGGATTATTCATTTATCACTGCATATTCAGGATGTTCATAATGTGCCCACGAGTAACGCTGCTTGCTATGTATTTTTTACCGCATTATCACTAACCTGTACCTCCGCACTGACTCTTGCAGATTTAAATTTACGACATGGCTTAGGCTTAAACTGTGGTTTAGACGATAACGTGGTGAAAGTCCTAAATTGCCAGTATGAACTCAAGTGTGAATTAAATTCATACATTTGATTATGTGTAAGATTCTTATGAGTATTAAATTCCGTTCGCTGCTTCAACATCCTAGTGCCTAGTGCAATGTTTTGCTTCTTATCAGTTATGTTTTAATGGGTAGGATTTTCCTTATATGCTTCTGGAACAGCACCAGAACTGTTGGTTCGCACGCTCGGAATAAATATTAGTAAAACTGTTCATACTGATGTATTCAAAAAGGTGTAACTCACATTTGTGATATTTCTGCGCAAGTGTATTTGAAGTAATCGCTTTGAAATACGATTGGTAACGGCAGAGTTTTTCTGTAGCTAATCAGCTGTGCGAAATGCTTCGATGCAGTGCAGGTGCTGAAGCGCCATGAACTCATGGTTATTGTAGTGAACCTACAGCAGTGGGACGGTGCAGTGTATAGTGGCGCCATAAATCGGTGAAATCATTGGCATTAATACTTCTCTTCCTGTTTTTTTGCACATAGATTATTATTTATCAACTCTCCCATACGCTGTTCTGTGTTAGGTTAATTTAATATCTGAGTTTCCCGTTGCGCTACCTTAAGGTTATTTGACGCCACGTAAGGCTAAATGAAACCATTTAAGATGTGCGCATAGATCAGAATGGTCCCGTGGTTAATCGCATTCTGGCGCTACTACGGTACAGCAAGCCGTACTCTCCTAGTTTTTTGCAGGATATGGACGTGTTATCTGTTTCTCAGCGGGTATCACAGGACCGCAATGGATGAATCATAATTTGCAGTCAGTTGATAAGAGAAATTTTTGTGGTCTGCCAGAAACCTTTGGGCCCGTACCTTTAGCTTTTAAAATTCGAGGTTAGACGCTTTACACTTTTTCTTTCCAATAAGCAAAAAAAGTTCGTTACTTGGTAGAATTTCATCTGTAAGGCTATGATGTATGGTCTATGACGCATCCTTCTAAAACCGCTTCGTTTGCCACTTTTGTGTTTTAGAACATTCATAGAACGGCAGGAAACTCTAAACACCGTGATCGAGAGCGTTGCCACCGATCCGAATGTGAATGAGGACGATAAGGCTACAGTTATCGAAGAATTGAAAGATCTTTTCATGACTCCAGCAGAAAAGGAGATTCTGGCGCGGCACATCAAAGCCGTCGATAAGTTGAATCGATTGCAAAACAAACTTTGCGAATCTATGTTTATATTTAATCTGTGTTTATCACTGAAAAGAAGATAACATCGTCTGGAAAACCTGTATTTCTAGCTGTGACATGTTGAGTCAAAATTTAACGGGAAATCTCCCCCGTGCTGCGACTGCTATGTGATCTCTGAACAATGCTGAACAAAGTTTCAATTTGAATTGAACGGATTTCCTGGAAACCAGTGTATTAGCGACGCACACAATATTCGCCGCTGTGAAACACAGCGTAGTGTAAAATCTAGACGACAAATGCTCAGAGTAAAAAAATGATGACCAGTTGAATCTTAAGGAAAGCAAGTCATTCTTATCTTCTTCAAGTCAGCAGCCTTTAAATTTTGCCCATTACTCTGATGATCATAATGCTCATCGTGATGAACAAAGTTTCTCATTATTATTCATCTTTCTCAACGTTGCATAAGGCACTAATATGCAACTGTTTAAGATTGCTGATGTCAGCTCAAAATGCAAAGTCCATGAGCAGATTCTCCCTGCAGAAGGAGGTCTGTCCCACAGCTGTTTCCACGGCGGACTCAAATAAGGTAGTCGCTCAGCGCGAATTTACGTTGAATGGTCAAAATTATAATGACACGATGATGGCAGTGGTTATGAATATGATAATGGTTGGTTATTATGATAGTGATGACGGCGACGATTATGGTTGGGATAATGAAGTTGACAGTAATGACGCCGATGATGTTGACAGTGAATGTTTATGTTCGCGAGGACGATGGTGATGAGTTTCGGCTAAGTATAATGTGCGACGTTGCATGTCAAACGGAAAGTTTCCACATGAAAGCAGAAAGTCTGCGTTTCGCAGACGAAGCGGAGATCAGAGAACATAGTCCAAAAGCATGTTAAAAAGTTTGTGATTGCAAAAATTTCCTCTTGTAGACTCGCAGCAAATGGAAGAACGACATATATAGATATTCCAGAATACTCGCATTCATGCTGAAAGTACTGCTGCCTTCGATAAATGTGATCCACTTTGTTAATGCTTATCCTGTCCGGCTTATGTTAGGAATTACAAGAAAAAATAGAAAGATGAATGAATGTACAAGAGCATGCATACGTCTGCGATGTCATTACCCAAGCGAAGAAGTTTTTGCTCAAGTAGCAGTTGACAGGACACGTTGTAAGAAGAGCCGACCATTGCTGAACCAGGGAGACATTAGACCTGGTTCCCAGAGCGAGTAAACGACCTCTTGGTAGAACCCTAGATCTATGGCGGGATGAGCGCAAGATGTTCGTTGAATGGGAATGTCAGAAAACAGAAATATATGACGATGTCTTAGAGAAGCCTTCACCCAGCAGTGGATTGATGAAAGCTGGTGATCCTGTCCCGGGGCTCATTTATATTGTCATTTTAAAATTATATCAGACCTCATTGTTTATTATTGATCGTAAAAAATCTGGGCAATTTGCAGCATATCGCGGCATGTTCAGAAAGCATACAGTTTTGTTATGTCAGTGGTTTCTGAATCATATTTCACTTCTCTGCCCTCTTCATTAAACTGGTATTTCATTAGCTATAAACAGCGGAAAGACGGATGGTAGTCTTTGCTAGAACTGCAGATGCTACAGTTAAGTCACAGTGGCAGACAAACCACCAGCATGGCAGACAATGAGTTTGAGAAAGTGACAATTACAATGGAGACAGGCATTTTGGATGCGGTTTTCTCCAACGCATGGTTTGCACGGTGGATGGCCAATTTAGTTTGGTTGAAACTTCGGCAGTTCTAGAACCATGCTTCTGTTTCATTGTGACTAGAACCATTGACCATTGAAATGTCCGTATAATGTTCTGTTATATCTGTTAAGAAGTTGCATCAGTAATGCTGAGCAGTGCAATGAGCAAAAACTGAGAAGCCATTGGCACTTTCTTACGAAAAATCCATATCTGCGTAGAGGTCTGACTGGTGCCGCAAAACATACACTCCGCTATAGCTGTATGAAAGAAGGAGCGCGTGACTGAGAAAAGATCTGTCTTTTTAAAGACAGCGAATGAAGTAGAAACGCTTTACGTTGGTGTTACTAACCTTCCCATACGTCTGACAGGATCCATCTGTAAAATTCAATCATTCGGCTTTGACGAAATGGACTGTTCTCTGAAACGAAAGGGTTTGTGGCGGTAATATAGACCAAGTGGCACTGAAGACGACATCACTTGGACCTGCTGGTAATCGGCGAAAATTTGAGCCTGTCGTTCCTCGCGATTTCAAGTCTTCTCCTTGCTCAAGTGCGGCCTTCCCGACGACTATATATATGAAGCGCACACTGAACAACGTTACATCAATGCATTTCAGATGTGGGCAATAGCATTTAACTCATTTACATGACTGTATTTTGTGGCTGCCTTTTCATAACTCTGAGCACCTCGGATGGCGTAACAACGTCACTAGATCATACACTAAATACTCGCACTTGGTCAAGACTTGTTGACAAATTTATTCCTGATGTTGTTCCGTGACTGTTTGTTTACGGCCATTGCAATTGCTGCTTCCACCACCATCCTGTATTCACAGGTCGTGTCGTTGGTGGCAGCCGCTCAGAGATGTTAATCCTGGATTGCAAAACAGTGGGCCGAGATCTGTGTATGGTCATTCCACTCGATAAAAGCGCAGAAAAATGTCACGGTCGGATGTACGGAAATATAACCTGGCTATCCACTGAAAACATGCGAGTCATACCAATGATGAATTCTGCAAACGGCTTGATCTTGAAATCA